AATATAAAATATTAATGCAACCTTTCAATTTTATTTTATTTTTTCATTTTTGTAAATCATGAGGGTATATTGGGCATACAGGTAAATATGTAAGGGTAGAAGTGGTATTCAAATGTTTCTCCACAATCTCCACTTTTAATATATTGTAGATTTAATTAATGAAATAAATGTTTAATTAATTAATTAATTAATAAATAAAATTTGAAAAAGTTCAAGATTTGAGATTTTAAACATTGATATCTTAAATTTGAAATTGGTAAAATAACATCTTAGTTATGTAATCTTCCATTTTTAAAAGCTATAATCAAACTCTTTATCACCCAGACTTAAGCCGAATGAATATATTCCATGCAGGGCAAGTCCCTTATGCAGTAGGCCAGCCTACATTTGGTGATGCACTGCATCAAGAAGTACGATCGGTTATGGGTTGGTTTTTTAAGTTCAATTGGATTGGGTTGAGTTGAAAAATCAAATTTGAGATTAGGTTGGGTTGGGTTAGATTGGATCGTGTTATGAATTAAAATCCAATCCATCATAACCCAACCCGATAAATTTAAAAGATTAAATAGACGCACAATAGTGAAAATAAGAGGACTTATAATTTATAAACGTCCATTTTTTGTTTTTACATAAATTGATAGACATGAATACTGTGCACTAATGCAAAGTTATTTAACGATAAAATAAAAATTAAGGACATGATGATGAAATTAATGAATACCAAAAAATTGTAAAAAAGAAAATATTCTTAAATTTAAACTTATTTACACATTACTTTTTCAGAAATAATTCCTTTTATAGGTGTTAAAAATAAATGAAGGTTTTCAAGTAATTTCAAATTTTGAAAATTTGTCTAAATTCATCAAAAAGTAATCGAATAACTTTTATTGGACCGAAGCCCAAACTGACCTTTGGGTTGGGTTTAAACCAATAATTAGGTTGGGTTGGTTTGATTTTAGATCAAACCGTGGGTTTGGGTTTAGGAAAAAACCGACCAAATCCAACCCATTCCCAACCCTATCATGAAGAATGGAGAACAAGAACAAGAACAAGAGAAAATTATATTCACTAAACATGGCAAGTCATCGTTCCTTTCACAAAAGGTGTTTCTGACTATCAGCTTCTTTTTTCCTTCAAGCATAGTTATTCATAGCAGATCAAATGACAGCAATGGATGGCAAAACTACAAAAAATGGATGTAAACTTTGTTACAAAGGAATATAGAGTAAATGGTTTTACAACACAATCAACAAATATTTGCTATTACATCTTCCAAAGTCTGTAATTGTACGACAAAACCACATAGGCAGAATCCTCTAAGAGAGGTCTCTTCTTGATCTTAAATAAAAATGCAGCACAATTCCAAAACCAACCTGTTTCACTACTTATAAATTAACCCTGAACAATTTGATCCAGGAGAAATGACCACATTTTTGAAAGTGCTGTGTATCTATGGAGCGTATCAATTCAGTTCCACAAGAACTAGCAGAAACACGAATAGGCAAAATGATTCTTTTTTGAGACATAATGAGATATGAAATCTCCAGAAGATGCGGACGAACCATGAATGCTTGCTGGAACAAGTATCTGAGTCTTGCCTGTAGAAATTCTCTTACCAGCAACATTGGCATAAAACAGGCCAGAAATGGCAGGTACAAAAACATCGCTCTCAGAACAAATGTAGTAGTCGATAACTTTCTCGTATTCAGAAGTTTCAGAGGCAAGGAACTTATCTTTTTTATCCATGGGCATTATACTTTCCTGCAAGGGTACGAAGGTAAACATAATACTCAACTCTTGGTGTTCGAAAAGCTAATTTAGATTTCATCTATGAAAATTGCTAGAAAGATATTTCTGTTTAGGATGTCTTACGTTAAATAAACATGAAATAAATAACAAACTTATAAGGGTTTGACCTACTCCTCTTAACAAGTTCGAACTTTTAGTTGAACCTTACACTTCTTGATATGATATCGGCCCATTAAGCTCAAACGAACAATTATATCCAATTAAGCCTAACGATCATACGACTTCCAAGATTGGCGTTCTCAAATGTAAATAAATAATCAACACATAAGGACTTGAACTACTCCTTTTAAAAATGTTGACTTTTTCAGATGAAATCTCAAGTCTTAATAATTTTAGGCGAGATGCTGAATGAAATTCACCTTTGTATAAGTTTTTGGGAAGACGTCCTTTAAACTGTCAAGGCTGCTGTCCCATTTTGATTCAGTCACGTATACTATTGTGCCTTTGTCATAGCCAATCTTCCTCAAAAATTGTGCGATGTCTTCAGGACCATAACAGCTTTTTGATCCACTATTTTTATGGCAGCCCTTTTTCTCCAAGATATCAAGCCTAAGGTCAACTGCCACGAACTGTCCATTTGACTTCCGACTTAAGGTCCTTAGGCGATTAACTAACGAGTCAACAACTTCACGAACTTCTGTCTGTGGCTCAAGGGCTCCAAACATTGCCAAACATCCAATAGAGTCAGTCTTACTTTTTTCCTTTTCCTTTTTCATGTTTACTGAAGGGAAGTAAGTTGCTAGCCTAATGTTTCCCTTGCTTCTGAAGACTGGTTCAATATTTTCTGCAATGTACTCTTCAGTAACCCGATTGGGGACCTTAACAACTGCAAGATTTCGTGCTGATAATTTAGCAGGCTGAGATTTAACGACTTTCACTACACCATCAAGGCTCGTTATGAACTTTTCAACATCATAAACATCTTCAAAGTTCCTGAAAGTTACAAAAAACCTACATCATTAATATGATTTCTGGCTAGTGATTATCCCCTGATATCTATAACCCTGTGCTTGTTTTGCAGTGTTTTTAAGTGCTTATATGATGTAGGTCTTATGGAATGAGTGGATAATAAATGGGTAGTAGATGTTGAGTTTACATTCGATTCTCATCACCTGAAAAATTACCCAAAATGGACTATGCGTGAATGAAGCCGATGAGTCTATTTTACAATTTCCTCTCCTTTTGTCCCAAAAAAAATGCATAATACATCATCACCACAAAAAGCCGTCATATTTTCCATGTACTATAACAAGACCAATAGCTGCATCACTAAAAAGCAGACCGTCCAAAAATTACCTCTTATCACCGGGCTTGCTTCCCCTAATGTCTGGGAGTACAAGAGTTGCACGTAGATATCTAGCCACCACCACTGCATCGGAAATCTGAACAAAAAAATTACCAGGGCTACTAGTTTGGTAAGAAAATTTTTCGATGAATAAGTATTTACGAAAGCCTACTAATATATACATTGAAATAACTGTTTGAATAAAAAGCTGGGTGGCAACTCAAAATACCTGCGAGACGTGATACTCGGGGCCATTAGTTAACGAGAAGGTTACATACCCTTGAGATTCCTCTGTGTCCTCTGTTAAAAAAACACAAAATAAGACAAACATACAAGAAAAATTGGAAAACATAACCGTAATGAAAGATAAGATAAAATATAACTGATTTCTCAAGAACTTCATTTGACTCACCCAAAACTGGCTTATCCCAACATGGCTTTAGTGCTAAGCCTTCGTGCTTCCAAAGCCCTTCAGCCTGTTTTGAAACACTAAAATGGCCATTCTCAGAAGCCTTGGTTGTCTCGTGAACAGCTGTCTGAATCACCAACAAGAAAATGGAAAATAAGAAAGAGAGAACATATTTAAGTCAACAATGAAAAACTATTCCAATGTTCTAGTCTTCATTCTTTCTAAACTTAAAAGATGAAATGGTAGAAGCTAATAGATGATGCAATTTATATAATTGCAGTTTATAGATTTCTTCATCCCTCTTTGTCATTGTACTCATTGCACCTAAATGATAAATCGAATTAGATATAACCACTCTTATCTTTGTCACGAATCGTGGAACAGAGGTACACAATTTGGACCAGTACAGATATGCATACATCATCAGATACACAAACTAAAAGACAAATGATGTCAATGAACACTAAAGGATATTCAATTTGAAAAAATCAGAGTAATTGTTTGAAGCCAAACTGCATAAGACAGAAGAAATCAATGAAATCAATGTCAATGCAAAGTAACCCAACCTTTACAATTTGCACATTATCATCAACTAATCAACACAAACTAAAAGACAAATGACGTCAATGATCATCAACAGACATTCAATTTGAAAAATAAAAATAAAAAATAAAATGCAGTTGTTCGAAGCCATATCTTGCCAGAGAGGCGAAATCAATGTAAAATCAAAGTCAATGCAAATCAACCCAAGCTCCACAAAATTTCACATTATCAAGAACTAGTCCACAAATTCAGATCAAATGAAGCAAAAGCAAAAGCAAATCAAACAGTAATTCCAGTTCCAATTTCCCAAATCAAGCCCATTTACGCTCAAGACAAGCTCGAAAATCCACCCCAATCAGTATTTGGCAAAAGAATCAATACAAGTAAATTAACACAAGTACCTGAACAGAATCAAAGTGGTCACGCTTGATCATATTTCCAAGCATTACGAACATTGTAACAGTAAGCACTCCCGCCAACACCTGTCTCGGATCCACACCCATTTCTTCAGATCCAATTCTCACTCCAATCTGGGTCTGTATGTATGTGATTTTAGCAGTGAAATCACTTCTCTACTACTCACTCTTTCTCTCTCCAACTGTATAATAATAATGGTAAGAAGCAAATGGAAAATCAAATCATATCCACAGAATGACACTACACAGAGAGTGAAGAACAATGTTCGAATATAGTGAGAGAAAGTAGAGACCCCCACCACCAGCTTTAAGGATTGGCGCTTATTGTTCAAGCATCTTTTTCTTCCTTGTTACTTGTTAGGTTTATCTACCCATTATTAAATGCAGATTATCCTATAACTATTTTATATGCTCAAACACAGATACATACAAAATACATACATATACGTATAGCTAATAGCTTCTCTCTCATGTGCAAATAGTAGACTGAACCGGTGTATACACTGTCATTGTAGAGGGAGAAATGGTTGTCTATACGTACATGTTTATGTAAATACGTACACATATAATGCTTAGAGTGATGCTATTTTTTGTGGGCTCCATCCCATGTGAGTGTTACGTGAACCACTATATACATAAAAATTATGTAACACAAATTTCAGCGTGCTTTCACTGTTTGGTTTTATTATTATTATTATTTCATGGGAAATTTTATTTGTACGTAAGTTTTTACATAATATTTTATCGAATTGACAAGTGACTGCCCCAGAATTAGGTATGTGTAGCATAACTCTTTTTTCAATAATGATATTTTAACTATATAGCCGGTGTTTGAGAATAATAGATTGACGAAGAATATATCGTTAAATTTTTTTTATTTGTGTGTAATATTTTTTAGTGGAGAATATGTGATTGAAAAGAATAGAATGAAAAATATATTTTGGGAAAAAGGAGAATCAAACATCCCCATAAATGTGCAAATTTAGCCCATATTTGATGGATATTAAAATCCGATTTTTAGTAAATTTCAATAGAAACTAATCAAACGTGGGACTAAAAAGTTGTGGAATCGATAAAATATATTGTTAAAATTAATTGTTGATTTTATTTTAAATTAAAATTTATATTTTAATTTGTATCAAACATGGGCTTAATTTGTTATTTTTAGTGCTCATTCGGAACAATCGATCAAAGTTTAGCATCAGTATACTTGACATTACATGACATTAAATGTTATATTCATTTAAGAGCATTGGTATTTAATACCATTGATATTTAATACAATTGATATTTAACATTAGTCTAAACGATAACACTAACGATATTAAATTATATGTTCAATTGAATACAAGAAATTATGACTCAATTAATAGAACATATGGTGTATTGATATCTAAACTAGTGTTCAACACAACCGATACTAAAATAGTATTATTCTTTATTTAAATGTAAATTTCCATGACTCATTTACTTGAATCTAAACTAATTAAATTGATGCTCTAGCATAACTAATATTAGATAACATTATTATAAGATTATAATAAAGACGAGTAATGAGTCCAACAAAGCATGTGAATAATTATTCGTGCACATACATTTTGTAAGTTAATTTCAATTACACTATTCAGTATTTATATATACATTTCGTGAAATCCACTATTTTTCTACTCTATATACCATTTATGAATTCATCAAATGGTGACTAATGTTTTGAGATGTGTATGAGTTTTGTTACGCAAAAATTCTCGATCAAATGTAGGGTAATTTAAGTTTGAGCTCCTCGATCTTTGATGTGATGTAGCTATGGATCTTTAATTTCAAAATTGAGATTTCGGTTCCCCAATCTATTTAAATTGGTGAATCAGAATCACACATCACATTTACATGACTTACAATTAAAGGAAATCGTCGTCAAACTATTTAACATTTACCTTCAATTTATCTTAAAATAATGTGGATTAATGTTAGAATGGATATACACAAATAGAGCATTTTCTGGACTTTTTTTTAAAGAAAAAAGCACCAAATTCGAATGAATACCCCCTAACAACATCGCCAAAGTTATTCATTCAATGAGAATCCATTTAGGGAAGAAGTGCTTTTCTAAAGGAGGAAAACGCCACTTTAATAGAACTGTAAATATGTGTACTGTAAAGTTGGTGTGGAGCCCATTAAGGGTAAGAGTGGTCAGTGATCGGAGTCATACAAGCGGATGGATGAGATTTGCAGCTTGTGAAATGGATTAGAATAACAGCAATTCCACTTGTACAGAAATATTGCTATCAAAATTAATACAGATGCTCGAGTGCGGACCGAGACCATTTTTCTTGTGAGGTCAAAAATGAGAATTCAAAAATGTTTAGGTAAATAATAAAAAAAAAATCAAGAGGAAAACTCAAAAAAAAAAAAAATAAATAAAAAAAAATAAATAAAATTTGTGGGGTCATTTGACCCCATGTGGGTCCGTCCCTGCAAATGCTGCTATGTTCGTTCTGTCTTTTTTTTTCATTGTTCAATAAAAAGGTGTCGTTTGTATTAATTTTTGGCAACATTTTTTTGTACAAATAGCAATTCTCTTAGAATAATACTATATGTACATTCTGTTTTATAACATCATTAACATTTCTTCCTATGTGGAGGAAATCTGTGCATTGATATGATGAATGAATTTAAAATCAAGAATGTAGACATTGTTATGTGTAACGATGTAAAGAAGGGTGTAAAGGAGAATTTACATGTAGTGTGATTGCTTGGATTATCTAGCCCCTGTTCGATGATCATTATTCAAAAAAAAAAATGATGTTTTGAATAATAATTTTTCAGAGAATGTGTAATTGAAAAATATGAATTTTTTTAGAATTTAGGTATAAAATATTTTTGGTGTAAACGTGTAATTGAAAATGAGTATAAAAATTAAAGAATTTTATTTTAAAAGAAAGCATATAGTGACTCCCTGTTTGGCGGGGATTAAAATAAATTTTTAGTAGATATTCATAGAAGTTGATAAAATATGTGGTTAAAAAATTATGAGACCCATAAAATATATGACTAAAATTAAGGGGAAATTAGGCCCAGTACGATTTTTTATCCAACTCATACTTAACAGTCGATTTTATCTAAAATCAAATAAACTCAACTCAATTATGTGTTTAAATCCAACCCACCCAAACCGATCAAGGTTGGATTTGTTGGTTGGGGAAATTAGGCCCAGTACGGCCCATGTGGAACAAAATTGAATAATACGTCCAAAATAATTCAAAACGTAACTTATACGTTCAAAACTCTAGTCCCAAAACGTAAAGAGAGAGAAACGATTCATCCATCCATCTAAGGTAGTCATCAGCAAGCTGCACCTTGATAAGGACTGCAAGTCTCTTCTGGAGTGTAAAGCCAAGGGGCGTGCCGTCGCCGACAAGGATAAGGGCACAAAGTTCACCGTCGACGACATCATGCAGACCGTAGATTAATTAATTTAATCTTCGACTATATGGGTATTGTCACTCGATTTTACTGTTGGGTTTAATTGGTTCATGTCGATGAGATGAATTGAGTGAAACTATGTTGTTTCTACTTCATTTTTGGTTTGATTTTCGTACTAGGAGACTTTTGGATATTGATTATGCTTTATTTTTCTCATGGTTTAATGAAATGCTTATAGCTTGGGTTGTTAATTTTACTTGAATTGAATCATCTGTAGGTTTGTTGGCCTTTTGTTGCTATTACTGTTTAATTTGCTGGAGATTCTTAGGTC